ACTGTGTTCTCCGAGAATGCCGGAGAACTGAGCAGCAATCTATTACCGCTGGTTCATAAACGGACACCTAATTCCTTGGTCTCTAATTGCCCACCATTTTTGCAAATTGTGATGCTTTATTTTATCTCTTCATATGCTGCACTTGTGTACTAAGTTTATTTCTTTGTCTATACTTCTGTGCATTTTTTTGTACTATTCATCACAAAACTTAAGTTTTGTTGTTGGTCAGTGCTCTTGTTTCTGACTGTTACTTTGACGTTGTCTATCCTATAATAAAATCCATTGTAAAAGAAAGATTTGCCTAAAAACAAAGCCCACCAGAGGCGCACTGTCACCACTTCTATCTTCACCTGGTCTTCCTTCCGGGTTTGCAGGCTCTGGCCATTTGAATGATGTCACTCCATCACATGTGCATGGGAATCACGGCCGCGGCACAGAGCTCTGAAGGGATGGCATGAGTTTGCTATCCTTTCAGACTGCATGTATCAGTGATCCCACCAGCTGCACAAACACTGAATATCTCCTAAACGGTGCAAGTTTAGGGATATTCTTTGTACCTACAGGTAAGCTTTATTATAATCCTACCTGTTGGTACAAATGAGCCACTGGTGTTTACTACCGCTTTAACCACTTCCAGTCCAGACACTTTCACCCCCTTCCTGTCCAGGCCAATTTTCAGCTTTCAGTGCTATCACACTTTGAATGACAATTGCGTGGTCATGCAACACTGTACCCATATGAAATTTTTTGCATTTTTTTTGAGACAGATAAAACTTTATTTTGGTGGTATTTATTCACCACTGGGATTTTTATTTTTTTGCTATATAAATGAAAAAGTCCAAACATTTTGAAAAAAAAGTGTTTTTCTTATAACATTTTGCAAATAAATAATCTTTCTTCATAAATCTTGGCCAAAATGTATTCAGCTATCTTTTTAGTAAAAAAAAAAAAAAAACCCCAAATTAGTTTATAACCAAAAAGTATAATTTTTCAAAAAATGCTTTTACATTTTTCTTTTTTTTTTTAATATTCATTTTTTTATTTTTTTAACATACGGTCACCCTAGCAGTACAGTGTCCCCATAGTGACACTGTACTATGTGGGGGGTGATGGATTGAAAAAGCAATCATTTCTCATTCTCTCTGGCTACATTCTTGCAGCCATTGAGAAATACTGTGAGAGCTGTGATTGGTCACAGCTTGTCACATGGTACAAGGCCGTTGTGAATAGTCTTGTACCATGTGACCTCTGGGATCATTCACAGATTTCACTAGTAGTAAGCAATGATGTCAGGAAGTGACATCTTGCTTATTACTACTGGTATTCATATGATCGCTGACTGGCCAATCAGTGATCACGATTGGGACCTCACAAAGAGGTCCCATACAGCGATCCTCCGGACACAGCAGGCAACGTATCGCGGTGTCACGCGCTCCCAGGGAGCACGCACAGGTAGGGAGTGAGGAGGCCATTTATAAATGGCCACCCGCTTCTGCACTGCTCCCGTCTGGCCATTTATGTACATAGGTCGGACGGGAAGTGGTTAATTAAAGTTCCACATTAAGTGTTACTGTTGCTGAAGCAAGGCTTTAAATTTGAACTACGACCTCCTATCCTTTTCAGCCAGGGAAGCTGCCATCTTAGCCTCTGTTTGATCTTCAACTGTTATGATGCTACACACATGATCAGTTATGACACCTGCAATTTGATGGTTTGACAGTTTGGTTGATAGCAAGAAGCAAATGTAGCAGTTAGCATTCCCAACATGCCAGGAATGTAACTGCCTTTTGAAACCATTAAATTAATGGGTTTAATTACATTTTAATATGTTAGTCACTGATGTAAAGTCCATCTATAGGTACTAGTCCATCTATCACAGTCTCCACTAAAAGGTAATGCTGCTGTCCAAGGGTGAGTATGATGTCCCTCTAAAGATGCAATGGAGTGAATGTAACCACCTTAAAACAACAAGTTTGTTCCTGGCCAATCGCAAGGTGAACATAAAGGAATACAAGCCTGGAAAAATTAAAACTAATGCTGTCACCACATTCAATGATTGGTAAGTTATAATATACAAAACTTTTGTTTTTTGGTTTAGTTCCACATTAAAATGGAGCTAAACCCACTTAACCCTTACAGCCAAGGAAGCTGCCATCTTAGCCCTGTTTGATCTGCAACTGCTGCACATATGATTAGTTATGACACCAACCATTTGATGGCTTGACAGTTCAGTTGAGAGCATAAAGCAAATGTGACAATTAGCATTCACGACATGCCTTCAATGCCACTGTTTTGGGAAACAGTTAAAGCGGAACTAAACCCATTGATTTAATGGTTTCAAAAAACAGTTACATTCCCAGCATGCTGGGAATGCTAACTGTCACATTTACTTTTGCTTTCAACCAAACTGTCAAACTATTAAATGGCTGGTGATCACCTGTGCAGCACCATGGCAGTCTAAGATGGCAGCTTCCTTGGCTGAAAAAGATAGGAGGGTTTAGTTCTGCTTTAAATCCATGGGGTTACTTCTGCTTTTAGTTACCTGTATGCTGGGAATGTAACTGTCACATTTGCTTGTGCTCCTAACCAAACTGTCAAACCCTCAAATTGCTGGTGTCACTAACTGATCATATGTGCAGCATCATGGCAGTTGCAGACCATACAGAGGCTAAGATGGCAGTTTCCTTGGCTGAAAAGGATAGGAGAGTTTAGTTCTGCTTTAAATCCATGGGTTTTTAGCAGAGGTAAATCCAAATATTTCATGGTTTCAAAAAATAGTTATATTCCTGGCATGCCAGGAATGTAACTGTCACATTTGCTGGTGCTCTGAACCAAACTGTCAAACCATCAAATAGCTGGTGTCATAACTGATCACATGTGCAGCATCATGGCAGTTGAAGATCAAACTGAGTCTAAGATGGCAGCTTCTTTGGCTGAAAAAATAAAGGAGGGTTTAGTTACATTTTAAATCCATGGGTTTACTTCTGCTTTTACTTCCCCACATGCCAAGAATACTTTCTCAGTTGCTTGTGCTCTTAACCACCAAATGGCTGGTGTCAAACCTAAACACATGTGCAGTATCATGACAGCTACATATCAAACAAAGGTTAAAATGGCAACTTCCTTGGCTGAAAAAGGATGAGGGATTAGTTCTTCTTTAAAGGGGAACTAAACCCATCAGTTTAATGGTTTAAAAGAAAAAACAAACAAAAAAAGTTACATTGCCAGCATGCCAGGAATGTAACTGTCATATTTGCCTGAGCTTTCAACCAAACTGTCAAACCACCAAATGGTTGGTATCATAACTGATCACATGTGCAGCACCACGGCAGTTGCAGAACAAACAGAGGCCAAGATGGCAGCTTTCTTGGCTGAAAAGGATAGGAGGGTTTAGTTCTGCTCTAACTGGAACTAAACCCATCGATTTAATTTTAAAAAAAAGTTACATTCTCAGCATGCCAGGAATGTAACTGTCACATTTGTCTGCTGTCAACCAAACTGTCAAACCATCAAATTGCTGCGCTGCACCAAGGCAGTTGCAGATCAAACAGGCCAAGATAGAAGCTTTCTTTGGCTGAAAAGGATAAGAGGGTTTAGTTCTGCTTTAAAGTGGAACAAAACTCATCGGTGTAATGGTTTAAAAAAAAATAGTTACATTCCCAGCATGCCAGGAATGTAACTGTCACATTTGTGCTGTCAACCAAACTGTCAAACCATCAAATTGCTGCACTGCATCATGGCAGTTGCAGATCAAACAGGTCAAGATGGCAGCTTCCTTGGCTGAAAAGGATAAGAGGGTTTAGTTCTGCTTTAAAGTGGAACATAACTCATCGGTTTAATGGTTTTAGAAAAAAAAAAAAAGTTACATTCCCAGCATGCCAGGAATGTAACTATCACATTTGCCTGTGCTGTCAAACCATCAAATGGCTGGTGTCATAACTCATCACATGCACTGCACCATAGCAGTTGTAGATCAAACAGATCAAGATGGCAAGCTTCCTTGGCTGAAAAAGTGGGTTTAGATCTGCTTAAGCCTGGGTTCAAACCAATGCTGTGTGGGTAACACTGCGAATCCTGTGCGTTTCCCACACCACACTACAATCGCATCACGTTCATGCAATCTGGTGTGGGTGTCAATAATGAATGAATGACACCCCGAAACAGATTGCAAAGCACGATTTCCAGAAATCGCATTGCATAGGTGAGAACTCCCATGCGATGCGATTCAGGTGTGGATTTTTAAAAAAAAGAGTCCTGCACCTTTTTAGTGCAGATGCGATGCGATTTGAGTCATACAAAGTGTATGCCTCAAATCGCACTGCACAGACATTTGTATGTCATTTGCATAGGAATGCGATGAGATTCCTGTGCGAACTACATGCATAGTATGCACCTGAACTTAAAGTGGAACTAACCCATTGGTTTAATGGTTTTTTAAAAAAAAAAGCTACATTCCTAGCACACCAGGAATGTAATTGTCACATTTTCTTCTGCTGGAAACCAAACTGTCAATTCGCCAAATGGCTGGTGTCATAACTGATCACATGTGCAGCACCAAGGCAGTTGCAAATCAAGCAGAGGTTAAGTTTAGGGTTGCCACCTCATCCCTTTAAAACCAAACACATATTAATAAAACAGGGTCTGTGGCTGAACTAATTCAGATAAGGCACCACGTGAGTTTAATAAGGGATGAGGTGGCAACCCTGCTTGCTTATACATCCCGTATGGCAAACAGATATTCTGACAAGTCTGCAGGAGACCTACATGGCATCAGCAATCTACTGATCACTGGTGTAATGCTTTCCAGGCTCCTTTGGACAAAAATAACATTTTTTTTTTACCTGCAAAAAAATGTGCATTTATTACTTTTGTCCAAAAGGTGAACTTATCCTTTAACTGGTTCCGCGCTGCCCTATAGCAGAAATACTACTACAGGGTAGCACAGGTGCACAAAATCAAGTATATATATGTGATTTTGCAGTTCCGGGTAGGGAGTGCGCATGCCCTACCCGCGCCGCCATTTTCGGCCTTGGCTGTCAATCACCGGGTCCCGGCTGGTGATTCCATGCCGGCACCTGGTGATCGCCGGGTGTCTCCGACGGGGGAGAGACCTGCGTATAAACACAGATCTCTACCCTGTCAGCTCCATTACATTGCTTTGTATGTCTCTGCTTAGCAGAGCTATACAAAGCAGGGTGCTTACAGTGAAACACACACACAGCCCCCTTAAGCAGGCCATACATGGTCGAATTCCGAACAATTTTTCGATCGAAAATCAAAAACATTGTTCGTTCTGTAATTCGATGGTGCCCCCAATGATTTCGAAAATCGGTTGTTTTTCACAAATTTTCCAGCATGCCTGATAAACGAAACCATGAAAATTTGCCGGTAACATTGCCCCACCAAAAATCGGCCGATTATTCTTAGGTCTGATTTTTGAACGAAAAATTGTTCGAAAATCGACCCATGTATGGCCAGCTATAGTGAAACAGCACACAGTTAACCCTTTGATTGTCCCACATGTTAACCCCTTCCTGCCCAGTCTCCTTAGTACAGTGTCAGTGCGTTTTATTAGCACTGATCACTGTATTGGTGTCACTGGGGATGTCAGTAACACCAAATCAGTTCCCTCCAGTGTCAGAATGCCCACCGCAGTCCCGCTATAAGTCGCTGATCGCGGTCATTGAATAGCAAAAAAAAAAAATAGAAAATAAAATTTCAGCATCTATACCGCCATTTGTAAACGCTATAACGTTCATGTAAACCAATTAGTTTACACATATTGGGATTTTTTTTTTTTTTTTAAAGACATGTAGCAGAATACATTTTGCCCTAAATTTATAACAAAATTTTATTTTTACATTTTTTTTACTGGACATGTTTAATAGCAAAAAGTCAAAAATATTGTTTTTTTTTCAAAATTGTCGATCTTTTTTATGTTTATAGCAACAAAAAATAAAAAAAAAAAACGCACAGGTGATCAAATCTCACCAAAACAAAGCTCTATTCGTGAGAAAAAAAAAAAAAAAGGACGTATATTTCATTTGGGTGCAGCATTGCATGACCGTGCAATTGTCAGTTAAAGTAAAGCAGCGCCTGTATCGTAAAAAAAAAAAAAAAAATGGCCTGGTCAGGAAGAGGAGTAAATCCTCCGGAAAAGAAAGACATACATTTCATTTGGGTGCAGCGTTGCATGACTGCGCAATTGTCAGTTAAAGTAATGCAGCGCCATATTGCAAATAAAAAAAAAAATGGCCTTGTCAGGAAGGGGGGTAAATACTCTGGGGAAAAAAAGGACATACATTTCATTTGGGTGCAGCGTTGCATGACCGCGCAAATGTCAGTTACAGTAACGCAGTGCCGTATCGCAAAAAAAAAAATAGGCTGATCAGGAAGGGAACTAAATCATCTGGGAAAAAAAAAAAAAAGGATGTACATTTAATTTGTGTACAGCGTTGCATGACCGGACAATCGTCAGTAAAAGTAACACAGAGGCGTATTGCAAAAAAAAAATGGCCTGGTCATGAATGGGGGTAATCTCCTCTGGAAAAAAAAAAAAGAACGTACATTTAATTTGGGTGCAGCGTTGCATGACCCCGCATATGTCAGTTACATTTACACAGTCCCTAACCCTCAAGGGGTGTACAATCTAAGGTCCCCAACTTACATTCATTCATACACATACTAGGGACAATTTAGACAGGAGCCAATTGACCTACCTAGCATGTCTTTGGAGTGGCGGTGAGAGGCAACCGCGCAATCGTCCAGTTAAAAGTAATGCAGGCATATTGCAAATGCAAAAAAAAAATGGCCTGTGAAGGGCAGTAAATCCTCTGGAAAAAACCAAAACGTACATTAGTGCATTTGCCAGGCGGCATTGCTAACTATTTGCCACTGTGCTGCCCAGTTAAAGTAATGCAGTGCGTATTGCAAAAAAAAAATTGGACTGGTCAGGAAGGGGGGGGGGGGGGGGGGGGAGTAAAATCCTCTGGAAAAAAAAAAAGGACATACATTTTGTTTTGGGTGCAGCGTTGCATGACTGCGCAAATGTCAGTTAAAGTAACGCATTGCCCTATCACAAAAAAAAAAAAAAAAAATGGCCTGGGTCAGGAAGGGGGGTAAATCCACTGGGAAAAAAAAAAAAAAAAGGATGTACATTTCATTTGGGTGCAGTGTTGCATGACTGCACAATTGTCAGTTATTTATTTCAGGTGCTTATATAGTGCTGTCAATTTACGCAGCACTTTACATATTTATATATAATACATTCACATCAGTCCCTAACCCTCAAGGGGTGTACAATCTAAGGTCCCTAACTTACATTCATTCATACACATACTAGGGCCAATTTAGACAGGAGCCCAATTCACCTACCAGCATGTCTTTGGAGTGTGCGCGGTCAGCGTTGCATTGACCGCGCAATCGTCAGTTAAAGTAATGCAGCGCCATATTGCAAATAAAAAAAAAAAAATGGCTGGTCAGGAAGGGCAGTAAATCCTCTGGAAAAAAAAAAAAAAAGGGCGTACATTTCATTTGGGTGCAGCGTTGCATGACCGCGCAAATGTCAGTTAAAGTAACGCAGTGCCGTATTGCAAAAAAAAAAATTGGCCTGGTCAGGAAGGGGGGGGTGGTAAGATCCTCTGGAAAAAAAAGGACGTACATTTCATTTGGGTGCAGCATTGCATGACCTGTGCAATTGTCAGTTAAAGTAACGCAGTGCTGTATCACAAAAAAATGGCCTGGTCAGGAAGGGAAGTAAATCCTCTGGAAAAAAAAAAAAAAGGATGTTACATTTCATTTGGGGGCAGTGTTGCATGACTGTGCAATTGTCAGTTATTTATTTCAGGTGCTTATATAGCCCTGTCCAGGGGCGGACTGACAACTCATGGGGCCCCCGGGCACTAGGGGGCCCCTGTGTCCTTGCCCAAACTCACAAAAGCCTATGAAAAAGGTACCAGGGGCATCTCATGGGGCCCGCTACTGACCTGGGCCCTCAGGCAGTGCCTGAGTTTTCCAAATGGTCAGTCCGGCCCTGGCCCTGTCAATTTACACAGCACTTTACACATATATATTGTACATTTACATCAGTCCCTAACCCTCAAGGAGGTGTACAATCTAAGGTCCCTAACTCACATTCATACATACACATACTAGGGCCAATTTAGACAAGATCCAATTAACCTACCGGCATGTCTTTTTGGGGTGTGGGGGGAGTCTGGGTGCCTGGGGGGGGCCATGCGAGCATGGGGAGAGTATGCAAGCTCTAGGCGGGTGGTGCCGTGGTTGGGATTTAGAACCCATGACCCTAGTACTACCCCAAAGTAATGCAGTGCTGTATCGCAAAAAAAAGGCCTGGTTAGGAAGGGGAGGTAAATCCTCTGGAAAAAAAAAGGATGTACATTTCATTTGGGTGCAGCATTGCATGACCGCGCAAATGTCAGTTAAAGTAACGCAGTGCCGTATTGCAAACAAATTGGCTTGGTCAGGAGGAGGGGGGGGGGGGGGGGGGGGGGGGAGTAGATCCTCTGGGGAAAAAAGACGCACATTTAATTTGGGTGCAGCATTGCATGACCGTGCAAATGTCAGTTAAAAGTAACGCAGTGCCGTATCGCAAAAAAAAAAAAAAAAATGGCCTGGTCAGGAAGGGGGGTAAATCCTCTGGAAAAAAAAAAAAAGGTTGTACATTTCATTTGTGTGCAGTGTTGCATGACTGCACAATTGTCAGTTATTTATTTCAGGTACTTATATAGTGCTGTCAAGGGGCGTACAATCTAAGGTCCCTAACTCACATTCGTACATACACATACTAGGGCCAATTTAGACAGGATCCAATTCACCTACAGCATGTCTTTGGAGTGTAGGAGGAAACCGGAGTACCTGGAGGAAACCCATGTAGGCACAGGGAGAGCATGCAAACTCCAAGCAGGTGGTGCTGTGGTTGGGATTTGACCCAACGACCTTGGTACTGCCAGGCGGGAGAGCTAACCATTTAGCCACCGTGCTGCCCCAAAGTAATGCAGTGCTGTATCACAAGAAAAAAAAAAAAAGGCCTGGTCAGGAAGGGGGGCAAATCCTCTGGGAAAAAAAAGGATGTACATTTAATTTGTGTGCAGTGTTGCATGACTGCACAATTGTCAGTTATTTATTTATTTCAGGTGCTTATATAGTGCTGTCAATTTACGCAGAGCTTTACATATATATATATTGTACATTCACATCAGTCCCTAACCCTCAAGGGGTGTACAATCTAAGGTCCCTAACTACATTCATTCATACACATACTAGGGCCAATTTAGACAGAATCCAATTCACCTACCAGCATGTCTTTGGAGTGTGGCAGGAAACCGGAGTACACAGAGGAATCCCACGCAGGAGTACCTGGAGGAAGCCCATGCAGGCACAGGGAGAACATGCAAACTCCAGGCAGGTGGTGCTATGGTTTGGATTTTACCCAACGAATCTAGTGCTGCTAGGAGGAAGAGCTAACCATTTAGCCACTGTGCTGCCCCAAAGTAATGCAGCGCTGTATCACAAAAAAAAAAATGGCCTGGTCAGGAAGGGGAGTAAATCCTCTGGACAAAAAAGGATGTACATTTAATTTGGGTGCAGTGTTGCATGACTGCACAATTGTCAGTTAAAGTAACACAGTGCCATATTGCAAAAAAAAATGGCCTGGTCAGGAAGAAGGGGAGTAAATCCTATGGGAAAAAAAAGGATGTACATTTAATTTGGGTGCAGTGTTGCATGACCGTGCAAATGTCAGTTAAAGTAACGCAGTGCCGCAAAAAAAATGGCCTGGTCAGGAAGGGGAGTAAATCCTCTGGGAAAAAAAAAGGAAGTACATTTCATTTGGGTGCAGTGTTGCATGACCGTAAATGTCAGTTAAAGTAACGCAGTGCCGTATTGCAAAAAAAAAATGGCCTGGTCAAAAGTAAATCCTCTGGGAAAAAAAAGGAAGTACATTTAATTTGGGTGCAGTGTTGCATGACTGTGCAATTGTCAGTTAAAGTAACGCAGTGCCGTATTCGCAGAAAAAAAAATGGCCTGGTCAGGAAGGGGGGTAAATCCTCTGGGAAAAAAAAAGGAAGTACATTTCTCATTTGGGTGCAGTGTTGCATGACCGTGCAATTGTCAGTTAAAGTAACGCAGCGCTGTATTGCAGAAAAAAAATGGCCTGGTCAGGAAGGGGGGTAAATCCTCTGGAGGGTAAGTGGTTAAGATGGCGACTTCCTTGGCTGAAAAGGAGAAGCAGGTTTAGTTCAGCTTTTAGCACTGAAAATGAAAGCTAGAAGCTGATTGGTTACTGCGCAGAGCTGCTCCACATTTAGTAAGATTGCCCTCATTGTATTTTCAATCATCAGCAAGCGTGTCGCGGTCGTTTGATATTTGAATGGCCGGTGAACGGATGGTTTGCGATGACATAACAGGTGTACGGTAGACTAGGCAGTATGTAGACGGTTGTAGAAGGCAATCATAGCACGCAGGGCGCAGCAATCCAATTGGGGTGGGTTAGGGGCTCAGCCATCCGAGCAGCATGTTGGCTCTGTAAATAGCACAGAACAGCTTCTCCCTCCAGCCAGCCCCCTCTTTTTTTTCACATGAAAATGATGCCAGCTCCAGTGGTGCGTAAAATTGGTATGAGCCAAGGGAAGTAGGTTATGGCTGATCCCTCC